ATAGGGCTTTTGTAGGATAGTCCATGTACATAGCCAATGGATTACCGAATAAACCACCTACAAGGGAGAATAAACAAGCTTTTTCCAAAACTAAATCATTTCTGCATAACTAAATCGACCAACAAGTAGCTACTGCACCCAACATAATTATAGGTTTGAGATCCTTCTGAAACCCTCGAAGCCAACTTCCAAAAAGATGGGGAATACTACGAGGCTAGGGAGATTTAATACAACTTGCATGCAACCCCAAATTACCCGTGCAAAGCGGCATTCAAAGAAAATGTGCTTAGTTGTCTCATTCTTATGACAAAAGCAACACTCTCACTGTTAGTTCATACTGTGCTTAATGGGATAAAATATGAAGGCAATTTCCAAGATCAGTTCATACTGGGGAATCAAACCTATGCTTCATATAGGCTTTACAAATTTGTGGTTGATGGTATGAATATTCCACATACTTTCTCCAAGATATGGACGTAAAAATGCACACCATGGTCAAAATTCTTTGCTTGCATTGGTTGATGATAGTGGATCAGCTAAACACAACAAACATGTTGCGGTGTAGAAACCTAAATGTCCATTCTACTTTTACATGTGTTCTATGTAAAAATATTGTTGAGGAGGACAGAGACCACCATGTTCTTTGGTTTAGATATTTTGCTACAGGTTGTTGGAATAGCTTGTATTTCCAATGGAGAGACCAAGATGATATTATTGGTACTTTGTAAACACGAAATTTGTAAACCACAAGTGCATGGTGTAGTTGTAGCTTTTCCTAAATAGTATTGAAGGGTTCATATGGTATCCATAGGGATCGATAGTGGTTTGGCTAGTGTTTTATATCTAACCTAGCATCAATTGCATATAAAGGCAAACTAAATCATGATATACATAAAAGAGGCTAAATCTAACCTAACAAGATAAAGCATTGTATAGATCATATCCACATAAGATAGTGAGGTAAATACATCTTGATATGAGATTTAGGCTAAGCATGTGTTGTAGTTCTATAACCAATGAGAAAGTAAATCAAGCATCTCATTCATTGCTTGTTTAACCACATCCCTCTAGTCTACCTCCTGATGTAGCTCCCTACTAGGCCTAGATATACTATCATGACCATGCTGCTCTATGTAGTTCCGGGTGTCCGTTCTTGGATCCTCTTCTTGCATGAGGTTTCTGAGGCGTCAAGGAAGGTTTTGAAACTACATCAAGTCACCAGTTGGCTTGGATAATTTCACCATGAGCACTTGGTTTGGTTGAGTGGTGCTTGAGATCTTCGCTTTTGCTTTTCGGTGAAGTTTCGGTCGAGCTTTTAGTTTTTTGATGTGGTTAGTGTCCTGCTGTGTTCTCTAGTCATCCTAGAGAGCATCGAGTCCCTAGTTGGCTCGAGGGCATTTCACTTGTTGGTTTTGGTGTTTGGAGGGTTGTTTGGTTTAGCGGCCATTTCGAAAGAAATTTTGGATTGGCTCCCATTCAACCCCCTTCTAATCGCCTTTCTCGGTCCTTCACCTTTTCATCCTTGAGCCCAGAGGTCCAAGGGGGAAAGGCATAACACAACAATCACTAAAGGAGACATCCCTGCATGTGCCATGCTACTTTGGTAGATCATCTATATGCATATTGAATCCCCATGGTCACACATCAACATTCTAAACAATATGGCTAACTGACTTGCAAATCTACAGAACCAGATTAGATGATAGCATAAAAAGGAGGCTTATTTGGATCACAGATGAATTGAAAGCAGAGTTCAGCCTACCGATTAAGATATGAATATAGGAGGAGACCGATAGAAACGAAAATCATGAAAATCGGTGGACATCGGCTAAAATTTCAGTCAAATTTATCAAATATTCATGAATTTTTTAACTGAAATTCAAAAAAATCTGAACAAAATTACCGGTATGTCTATTTATCGGAGGTCACCGGTAGAAACAAAAATCGCCAGTTTTCAGTGGAAACCGGCCGAAATTCTCAACCTTGATTGAAAGACATGATTAACACTACCCCAATAGAAGATGTGCATTACAAGGTCACCGGTGAGGACATACCCTTGATGATGCGACGCTCGTCTCTAGAACTCCAGCTTGAGGCTTCCTCATAGCCATAGGGTGCTCACACTTGCACTATCTTATACGTACTATGGTTGTTGTTGCCTAGAGAATGAAGTGCGGATGTGCCCTCGATCCTATATATTGAAAAACATACTGTTCCACTAGTACAGAGATGGCCTTTGCTTCCGGTGGGGAACCCCCTCTAGTCCCGGTTTCCCACCCGGGAGCAAGCATCCGGGACTAAAGGGGGGTCCTTTAGTCCCGGGTCAGGAACCGGGACTAAAGGGGGACCTTTAGTCCCGGTGGGTAATACCAATCGAGACTAAAGGTTTTTTTTTCTTTTTTATTTTTTTTCATTTTTTTCTTTTCTTTTCAAAATAGGTTTTCGAAGTCGTATTGTACGCTGCTAATAATACATTTATACGCGCGTATAGTATGTTTCGGTTCAATCACAATGAACGTATTAAATGACACAATTCAAGCATAGAACTATATTTTACATTATATTATTTCATGTGCATATATTACAAAAGATTGCATTACAGTTGTTGTGATATAACAAGTTTTCTCTCATCCTCTAACTTGGCTTCCATGGCAGTGTTGGGTCGAAGTAGAACTCGCCCTTGGAATCGATGACCTGGTCATTAAAAAATCTGGCTATAGACTCTTGAATTGCTTTGAACTGGTCTTGCCGTATGACCTTTTCCTCCAACCATCGAGCCTACAGGTTTGAATTAAAGGAAAATAAATTAATATATATACATACATATATATTCCTCCAACCATCGTACTCTTTGCCACAATAGAGGATGCAGTCATTAGGATATGCATGTATCTTCTCGATTTCTAGCCCCATAGGACAGACAACTTGTTTTGCTTCGTAGATAGTGACGGGCAATTCATTGTCCTTCGGAAGCATCTTCTTTTGGATTTTTAGTAACTCTCCAAATCCCTTGTCAGATACACCATTATTTGCCTTTCATTGCAGCAATTCTAGTGCGGTTCCTAACTTTTTCTGCCCTGTATCACAAGTTGGGTACAGCAATTTCTTGTGATCTTCTAGCATCCGCTCGAACTTGATCTTCTCCTTTTCACTTTCACATTCTCTTTGTGCGTCACGAATGACCTGACAAAGATTATCAGCAGGCTCATCTTCTGCGGCTACCTCTTCTTCAGCTTCTCCCATTGCAATATTATTGAAGCACGCACCATCGGGAATAATATCGTTGTCGTCACATTGTTCTTTTTCACCTTCTTCCATTACAACGCCGGTTTCTCTATGCTTCGTCCAACAAATATAGTTTGGCATGAAACCTGACTTGAACAAGTGTGAATGAAGAGTTCTTGAGCAAGGATATTCCACCGTATTCTTATATATGGCACATGGGCAGCACATGAAACCATCGCGTTTGTTTGCCTCGGCCGCACGTAACAAAGAATGCACGCCGTCAATAAACTCTTGGGAGCGGCGATCAGCATTGTACATCCAATGCCGGCTCATCTGCATTACATGACATAAATACCATATTAAAACCTAGATCATAATTAATTATTTATACAACATGCGTACCACCACAAAAGGTACAAATTTATGAAAGCATCACTACAATGTAGACAATACCAACTATCACTAAAAGAACTAAATCTAAAATACATTTCAGGAGCACAAGGATTTCACGATCAATCTCAACTAAAACAGACAGATCCCCCGATTGTGCAACATCTTTGGGCTTCTTCGGCTGGATCACTACCTCATTAGCCATCGTATCTGCCTGTTGTGCAAGATATTTTTGCATGAGTTCAACATACTCTTCCTTACAGTAGAAGCCTGAACATCATCCATTGCCATCCCATTGAAATTAAAACAAAAAATTAGAACTTTAATCACAACCATCATGAAAATAGGTATAAACTAACCATAATCATAAAATACGATAAAATAACTCACATTGCGATCCGGACACTTGTAGAAGATACGACCTTTGCTGGGACCCTCCTTCTTCACTCGGTACTCCATCACAATCTTCGTCTCATCACGACACTTGCCGCATGGAATGAGAGGGAGACCCGACCTAAGTCGCTTTGGAAACCAATGAGAGGCCGAGGACCCGGAAGCAGTTGCCATCTACTCTCCATACTCATTTTTTAATACACTATAAATTTCTCATTTTATAAACAAATAAAATTAAGAAACTATAAAATTATCTATATCTCTAAACAATGAAGTGTGCTATGCATGCTAGAAATAAAAAGTGAATACTTTGTTAAATACCTACTTTAACCTTTCTTCATCCAAATATGCAAACTATAAGTTATTTTGAGCTCAAATTGTTTACAAATAAAAAAACACCATAAAAACAATATATATATATATAGTGAACAATATGAGATAAGCCAATGATGAAAAATAAGAGTATGAGATTGATAACCTTTACAACTGAAGAATCGACGGAGGAATTGAAGTAATCGACGGAGAAATCGAAGAATGGATGGAGGAATAATGGAGGAAGGAAGCAAGAACACTATTGCAGTGAGCTTCAAAATGTGCTGAGCTCGGGCTCGGGGAGAAAGAAGGACACGGCCGAGATATAAAGGGGGGACCTTTAGTCTCGGTTGGTGGCTCCAACCGGGACTAAAGGTAACTTTCCAACCCCCGGCGCAGCCACGGCCCGAGAGTAGACCTTTACTCCCGGTTGGAGCCACCGACCGGGAGTAAAAGTCTACCTTTAGTCCTGTTGGTGGCTCCAACCGAGACTAAGGTCCCTGCCACCTCTGTCTGGCGCAGTAGCCGTTGGGCAGGGACCTTTAGTCCCGGTTGGATCCACCAACCGGGTCTAAAGTCTCTCAAGTCCCGGGCGCAAAAAATGCTGGGACTAGAACCTATTTTAGCCGATGATCAAAGACCTATTCTCTACTGGTGTCCGTACTCTCACACAGAGCGAGATGGACTCCACGGCCAGTCATAAGTGGCTGGCAGAACTGGTAAGCTGCGCCGTTACCCAATCCATGCATATTCTTCGTTACGTTCTTGTGGTTTTTGCAATGTTTGCATCCGGCCGACGAACGAAGATTACAAATAAGGCTGTTTGTTTGATTGGATGCAGGAAAACAAGGAGGTCGGGGAGCTGGACTTCATTGACGCGCTGACCATGCAGCAGCTCGCCGAATCCCTCGCCGACGAGCTCTGGGACCACCAGCCTATTCACCAAGAACAGCAGCAAGTAGAATTGTTGGATCAGCGGCAGCAACGCACGAACACGTACACGAACACGACAGGATTCCCCTTTCACGGAGACATGAGCCGCGGATCCTACGCCGAGGCCGACGAGGGCTTCCTCCCGACGGCGGCGGCTATCAGCACAGCAGGCGGGAACAAAGACAGTTTGTTCTCCTTCACCGGCGGCAAGTCGGAGCAGCTGATGAGCTTCTCTTCGCGAGAGCCGAAGCAGAAGGAAAGCAACGGCGGCACAACCGCAGCTGGGACACCGTTGATGACGACGATGGAGGGTAGTAGTAAAGGAGGGCGGCCGAGGGCGAGCTCCGGCGTGCATGAGCACGTCGTCGCGGAGAGGAAGCGCCGGGAGAAGATGAATCAACAGTTCGCGGCTCTCGCGTCCATCATCCCGGACATCACCAAGGTCAGCTAATAAGCTCATCGCCTTCAGCTCATCAGCTCCTAATTAGTACTAAGGTGAAGTGTGTATGTTTCATTTCATATAATTCCCAGACAGACAAGGTGTCTCTCCTGGGGAGTACCATCGACTACGTGCACCGCCTGAGGGGCAGGCTCAAGGTCCTGCAGGAGGAGCGCCAGAGCAGCACCGGCAGCACGGCGGAGTCCCCGCCGTTGGACGCCCGGTGCTGCGTCGGATCACTGGAGGAGGAGGACGACGCCGGCCCCAAGATCGAAGCGGACGTCCGGGGGACGACTGTTCTGCTGAGGGTGGTGTGCCGGGAGAAGAAGGGGGTGCTCATCATGCTGCTCAAGGAGCTGGAGAAGCACGGCCTCTCCACCATCAACACCAACGTCTTGCTGCTCGCCGGGTCCTCGTTAAACATCACCATCACAGCGCAGGTACATCTTGTCTTAATAATGTTACTAATAATTCTTAGTTTCGATCCAAGGCTTCATCTCAGTTTATATTTTTCTAACCATGCAGGTGGAAGATGGATTCTCCACCTCAGTTGAACTTGTGAATAATCTAAATGCTGCTTTGAAAAAAAATTTAGGTTCAGATTTCAGTTCCACGCGCAAGCTATTGATCGATATATATATGTACGTACAAATGGAGATCGAAGTGGCATGAATCTAGGTGATTTACTGAAGCTTGTGTCCCTGTTCTACTTGTTTCAAGGGCAATCTTATGTTTGTTGTAGCAACATAATTATTGGATGCAGGCATGCAGCTTTAATTTGCAATTATCATCATATTGCATTGTTCCATGTTATATATATCTTTAGTACCATTATTTAGCTACACACTCAACTGGCTACGAAATGAAGGTATACCATTAGTGTATCCCTTCGGTTTTTCTTACTTCACCTTGTGAACTATATATAAAAGGTGTTCACTGTACATGCACGCCGACCATTTCTCCCTCGTACATGATCTTCTCTAGTAAATAATAGCTCATTTATTTGTCACATTTTTTCCAAGACAAATGCATTAAAATATTTTTTGCATGATAAATTAAAAGATACCCCAATGCGTACGTAGTGGCCAAAGCTCGCACCATACATATTCTTGGAGTTACCATATATTGCTGAGAGAAATCTAAAGACTGCTGCACTAAGAATCCAATACGTGTGAGTATAATTAAGTATGGCACCTACTGGGATATTCTATAAACAGAATCATTCAATACAGTGTATCTCGATAACCCGGGAATACATATATAGTAACAGTAAACTTTAACACACTTTTCCGAAGCAAACTGTTGGTCAAAATAGTAAATAATGGAGATATGCCGGAATCTCAACGGCAGCTAGCCACTACAATGCATGAAGTCCACCCTTGCTCTTCTGGCTAATCCATATCCAGCTGACCGATGATGGAGCTGCTGGTGGTTTTGTGGCACAACCTGTGGGCGCAACAGCACACCAAAAGCTGTTTTCCAATCTGTGAGTATTGTCTAAGGGTGGATGCAGGGCATGCACTTGCTGGTCTCAATAATAAGTGGAATATAAGAGGAGAGGGACGTCAACTTAATTGAGACATAAAACCAATACTGTATATGCTGTTGCAGAAAAGATATTGCTAGTTGCTGCCTTAAATATACTCTCTCTCTATATATATATCCATATGCCAATAAGTTATGCATCATATTGTTGCAATAAAAACTAGTCACTTGTGCTTTTGAAGGAAGAATAATAAGCGAAGCGCCGTACTGTGGGTGCTGGCCACTTTTCTATTTCCATGCCACTGGTACATAAATATCATGGCGAAAGTAGCTCCGGGACACTAAAACTGAAGTCACAGTTGTCAGCTGAACACTTAAAAAAATATAATTGGCTATTGACACTATGGTTTGTGATACATTTAGCGGAAGACATAATGCTCATTAAAATATTTATTTCTAGCTCAGGAGGACACAGAACAATGATGAAATGTTGTTTTTGCCCCAGCGCCTCCACACCTTCATGGTTCTTATTTCTCACCTGCCCCACTGCCCTCGCCAACCTATTCGCTGCTTGTGCCAAGCTCGGTCGCGATGGCACTCTTGTGCCTGCCAAACTTTGGCGAGTGGCACAGGATGAGGAGGAGATCACAATGAGCTCAATAGAGGTGTTCTTGATGATGGGGACACTTCAAAGTCCAACCATAGTGAAAGGCAAACATATGTGGTGGTGCACTTCGGCGAGCTATGGAAATGACATGGTTGGGTGCGGATTGGAGTCCAAGAACGAGCAAGGTGAATGCGGTAGGTGTTTGCGATGCCAATGGAGGAGAAAGGAGGGTAGGGGAAGGTTCGGCCAAGAGATCAAGGGCGCTAGTATATATTGAGCTCGATTGACGGCTTGTAGTGTCGATTTGAGGCACTGGATTGAGGAAGTGATAGGGAGGAGTGAGCGGGGAGGATGGTGGGGGAACTCTAATCGACTTTATAGGGCGAGCCAACTGTTGGGCATATATGGATGAAGAGGCGTACAGGCGATGCATGTGAGCATCCCATCGAACATCGTGCGCTGCGCCATGATGCATATATAGTCAGAAAATGGAGAAGAGGCCAGTGAGTCGTGCCTAATGTTAGAGTAGAAGCCACGAAGACGACAACGGTAGAAAACACAAACTGATCTCATATAGGAGATAAAATAGGAACACCGATCAATGACTTGTGAAAGAGAAAACCCCCATCAACATGTATTGGGAAAAGAGTATTGTCTAAGGCGGTCGATCAACATGACTGGCTGGAGCCCTAGGTAGGAGCAGCACGCTGCACCTTGTGGAGATCCTAATCATTGAGCGCTACAATTTTCATATACAAAGTATCTTTATCCGACACCATTCAACAAAGACTTTTTTCTAAGGTGACAAGCCTTGGTATGCGACTAATATGCTGCTGAAATTTTATATTATTTTTTAAGCATCTTCACGATCACAAATGACAAAACTCAAAACTAGAAATTCATAGATATCATCGAGAGCTATAATTTTCATATACAAAGTATCTTTATCTGACATCCTACAAGAAAGACATATCTTTTTCTAAAGCGACAAGCCCTAGTACCCGATTAATATGTTGCTGAAACTTTATATTATGTTTTTAGCATCTTAACCATCTCAAATGAAAAACTCAAAACTAAGTTGTAGATCTCATCGAAATCTATAATTTTCATATAAAAATCATCTTCATCCGAGGTCGTATGAAAAAAAATATTTTTAAGGTGGAGCTTTGTCGGTGACATGTGGGTCCATCTGTCATATCCATGCCACGTAGGATATCGGATTGGGTAAACGACTACTTAGAGCTATAGTTGAGACCTGTTACAACTTGAGGGAGCCAAAAATGCATTTTGTGAGTTTGTGTATCTAGATAATACCTAAATACAACCTTGAGGACCACGGTTGAATTTTACTCAAGAACTAAGCATGTGTTTGGATGGGGGTGAACTAGGTTGGGGATGGGTTGGACCCAGTTTTGGGTGTGTTTGGTTGGGGGAGTAGAGGGTTAGGTTGATCCCCTAGAGAGAATATTCCTCAAAGATGCGGGTCGACCCGTTCCTCCAAATCGAGCGGACAGGGTCGACCCACTTCTCCGAGTGCGTGCGAGTGAGCAGAGGCTGAGCGTGGGGCTGGTGGGGAGCGAGCCTGCGAGCGAGGCCGCACGGCTGGCGGAGGCGCGAGGCCAAACAGCGGTGGCGGTGGCGCAGGACCGAGCAGAGGCCGATCTGCCGCGGCATGGATCTGCTTCACAGCATTGAGGAGCGGCGACGGCAGCTGTGAACCCAGAGGAGCAGCGGACGCACGGAGGAGATGTGAAATGGAGAGGACGGCAGGGGCGCGAGGATGCAGAGGATGGGAGGACGGCGGTGAGCCGCGTCTCGGCGGACCGCATCTTGCCAGGCGTGCAGGGAGCTCCGCCCTCAGCCAGGCGTGCAGGCAGCTCGCCCGGCCATGGCGGTGCACGGTACGGAGCCTCTGCGCGTGGCGGCATGGGCTGGCCGATGAGCCTCTTCGGGCGATGCTCCTGTGCGGGTGGAGCTCCTGTGCGGACGATATGGCCTGTAACACCCTAAAAATTACATTCTTTTGACATAGTTAAAATTGATTATATATGCTTTTAGGTGTGCATTCAAATATAGGAAACAATATTTTTTGTTAAATTAAAATCAACTATAAGGCTAGATACATGTTTTGCATTCATGGTGGAGCATCTGTATTTCTGTACTGTGTGGTTTCGATCTAAATCCCTATCTAGTTTCAAAACTGCTTTTGAAATTGAATTGAAAATTTAGTTTATGCATAAAATAAAAAGGAAATTCCTTTTCCTCCCTATGTCTCCCGGCCAAAAGGCCCAGCTTGGCCTGCCTCTGTTCTGGCGCAGCAGCCCGGCCTGCTCCGCCTGCACTCAACCCCGCAGCCCAGCCGTGGCCCATGCCTGCGAAGCCGCCAGCGAGGGCGCTAGTTCGGCCCAGTACCGCGGCATAGTGTCGCCCCCTCCCGTTGACCGACTGATGCCTGGGCTCCACCCCTCTCTCCCACTAACACACAGGGCCCACGCCATAGTGTCGCCCCCTCCCCTATTTCCCCTGTGCCCAAGTCGAACCTAAGCCCGAGCTGCCGAGCATCGTACCCCACAAATGACTCGATTTTTGGGCGTGCGTGCCACACCAAGGCGCCCTATAAAAGCCGCCGCCCCCCTTTCGCTCTCTTTTTCCCATCTACGAGCATCCACCATCTCCATCGAGCTTGCCGTGCCGCCGCAAGCCCTAGCTACCACAGCCGAGTGTCGGTCCATCGTTCAGCCACTTTTTCGCCATCCTTGACCCTTTGCCGAGCATCTCCACATGGTAGTGATGTTCCCAACACCGTTTTTCCTCTTTTCTCGCTCTTGTTTGCTCATTTTCCGCTGCCGATGTGTCTGCAGGAAACTGCCATCGTTTCACCGAGCCCCGGACCGACTTGGCTTCATCTCCGTCCACGGGAACACCCTAGGTGAGCGTGTCGTGGTCCGCTCTTGTTTCCTATGCCCTTGGTTTGTTTCGTCGTGGCCCAAAGGGCCTTATTTTGTGCTCGCCGGCGACCTTATTGCCGCCGGCCATGGTAGCCACCGTGCCTAGCCCTGTTCTGGCCATCTGTCCTCTCGCTTTCTCCCCACTTCTAATTTGAGCCATCCAGATCTAATCCAAGGGTCCAGATTCACCCATACCCCTTCATCGGCAAACTATTTAAGAGCCCCTCGGCGTTCTGCGTAGTAATAAAAACCAAATTTTATTTATTTTAACTCAAAATTAGTTCGCAGAAATTATAGTTTTGCCACCTGTAGTTTATAATTAGCATAACTTCACCATTTTTTTAAATCCGATTTCAGTGATCTTCGCGTCTGTGTGATCGTAGCGATGCCACGTTGTCACCTATGGGTTTATGCATTGGGCAGTATGGTGCTAGTGCTCAATTAAAGACCATGATCTTGTAACTTGACTAATGAAATATGCAATAAACACTAAAAGATGCTTTTTAGTGACATGAAACCAAGGGGCTGGAGCATAGTTTTTGTGATGCTCTAGATTTCTCTCCTTAAGGACTTATCTGTAAACGATCATCTGAGACTTACAGTACAACCGTGAGAGCTACATGGCTCTTGCT